TGGGGTTGGAAATGGTTGGGTCTCCAAAGAGGAATTTCCTGTTGGAAAAAATGCAACTTTTGGCATGCCTATGTTGTGCGATTTAACGTTGTAAAAAGGACGGCAGATGAAGGTCTTGTGGCTGGCCCCATGTGGACAAAGTTTTTGCACCTGAGGTCTTGCAAAGGCCTGAGCGATATTTGGACTTCAGACATTTGGTGAAGGCACGGTGTGAGGCGTCTTTTTCATCACTGATGTGAAATTTTCAATGAGTACATGGCGATTGTAGTTCGCAGTGTGTATCTAGCATATGCATGCATATGCGCCATGATCAAAGTTGGCTGATTTACCATTCGTGAATTTTCATACCACCCTGAATAATCCTAGGGATTTGATGATTTTGATGGTGGCCACCATAAGGATTCACAAGTTCATGGTCGGATGACCATGGCCCAATCCCATGTACCTTGATCACGACAGCTGACGCCAGGGCTGGGCCACCTTGTTGCACGTGTTGCAGCACGATCTGCCGGACAAGCCCAGCAAGGATGAAAAAGGGCCTATAGATTGAGACCAGGTATGCACAATGAAGCTCCTCCCAAGGTGGAGTGTGTTAATATTTTTCAGTAGGTAGTTATTTTCAACATCATATTAACCTACTTTTAGTATTAGTAGATAGTTTGTGATTCAACATCATAAATTCACCTAAATCAACCTATCATATGATGTTGAATCACAAACTAGCCACTAATGCTGGTAACCTAACATACATCACCAATGTTGATATTAACTATGATGGTTAGGTTGCTAACCTACATCACCTATCATATTAGTGATAGCAACCTAACCATCATAGTTAATTGATCACCATCCATGATGGCCGAGGTTGAAAACGGCGATCGAGGCCTTGGCCCCGGAAGGCGCCCGGCGGGCGGCATGGGGCGAGCCAGCGAGCCAATGGAAGCCGCCGGATGATTCACCGTTGGTAGATACTGTTTGTTCATGGTTAAGCATAGTTAATGGTTATAAAACGTTATAAAACCATAGTAAGATCAGTAAGATCATATGTTTTTGGATTTTTTTTGATATATTCACCAATAGGATGATTCCCCTTGGGAAAAATCCCGTATAAATATATTTTTTTTGGTGAAATGTCACTATGAATGGGAGATTTGCCAGCCACGGTGGATTTCCGGAGGGCAAGGATATGTTGCTGATGGACTTATGACCTATTGCTCATTGAAGCATATTGAAGCAAGTTTCGAATGAATGATGTATGTTTTGATGGATTCACTGGAAACATCTGGAAACCCCGTGTATAATTGGAAAAAGCAGGATTGCCTGCAAAGGTTCCTTCAAGCCAATCCAGTTTTGGGCGACCAAAGTTGGCCCACATCTAGAAGAAAGATTGTACAGCGTATTTGTTTCATCTTGTTTCCAAACTGAGATTGTGATTGTTAGACAAGATAGTGTTAAAGTGTCATTCTTCATGCTTGGCTAGTCAGAAGCCATCAGATGCCCGAAACAGACATTTTGTATGTGTATATATATATACATATATAGGGGAAATGATCGTGGGGTTGCTGGGAGGTTCCCACCTGGCAGTTGAGTTTTAATGCATTTGATGATGGTTTTCCAGGAGACTCCCAATAGCAGCCCTTTGCAACTCATAGGGCGTTACATCATCACTCACTGTTTGCAGGAGGGAAATTCCACATCAAGTTCAGTCCAGAGACTACAGAAAATAGAATCCATATGTTTTCCCCAAGTTTTATTATGACGCAAATTGGTCCTGGCTCAACTTATAAAATACATTACCCCAAAACTTGGTAGCGTATCATGATTTAGCAGTTTACTATCATTGTCCTCATTAAAACTGAAATTTTATGGGTACCCCTTATTTTTTGACAAACCAACGTATCGCATTGATTATGTTTATGTACTGTATGCCAGTTGCATCCCACAAACCCTCATTGTTGGTTAACATCCCATGTTTATTTGCAATTACCCAGCACATCAACCATGCTGGGTCCACACATCTACAAATCCCATTGGCTGATGGTTATCAGTTATCCACCAATCTTCTAGTCCGGTAATCAAACGTGGCAATGGAAAATCCCCAATAAATGGAGGTTTTGTTGGGAAAAACATCCAACACGGTGGATTTCTCACTGCCATTTTTGATTACCAGAGGATACATCACCTTCTATATTTCCCATAGCAGACGCCCCTTGCCCTGGCAGGAGCACAGAAGTTGTCCCAAGGTGTACTACCTGAAGCCGTGCTGGCAGCGATTGAAGATTTGGCCGCGTCTTGGCATGAGATATCGCGAGTTGTTTGGAGAATTTGCCAAAAAAGAATGGATGGCTTACCCTAGGGTAAAGTAACCTAGATGTGGAAAAGCCATGGTTTCCCGAGGAAAATGATCTACAAGTGGCGGGATTTCCACAAAAATGTTAGTTTAGATTGGGTAAGCAGTCAAATTTTGGTAAAGGGAGCGTTTCCGGGAACAAATCAAAGTTTTTGATGTTCGGAATTGGACCAAAAAAGAATCATGTGATAGCAACAGTTTTTTCTGGGGGGCGGAATTCCTCCAATAGAAAGGAAATGGTCGAAATGCTGGGCCTGGAGAAAGGGAGCCCGGGCCCGAGGTCTGCGTGGTGGCACCCAACGCCGAAGCGGCCAATGAGAAGATCGACAGGGAGCCCGGTTGACCGGGGCGGCCATGGAGGATTTTTTCTTGGGGATCTTATCTGGTTATTTTCCTTAAGATGATAGAGGATAAGATTTTGGGTGATCTTATCTGGTTATTTTCTTAATAAAGTAGCAATCACCATCCATTATGATTTCCTGTAGAAACTCCAACTTATCATGAGTCATGGTGAAAAAAGGACTTGCCGTTTTCAAAAACGGGTGATGTTCCACAGCTACGTTACATTCCCAGAGAGGAGATGAGCTTAAGGCGATAGACACAACAGAGCTTTGCGACTGTTTTCCCTCTGGGTTCCTGGACAGATGCAATAAGAACTGCAAGATTGGAAGTGTCTAGGTTTGGAAGGTTGTCCCCCAAATATATATATATATACAATTATATATATATGTGTAGATAATAAGATCTACATATATATATATTTATATATATATATATGTATATATGTATATACATATCTGTATATCTGTACACACATGGATTGTTTGTCAAGTTTGATGGAGAGATACATAGATTTGACCCACAAGCGGGGAGGTTGTAGTTCCGGACGTTGCAAATGGGTTGGCTCAGGCGGCCGAGGGCCAAGACCAGTTCAATTTCCACGTGTGGCTGCAACAAGAGGCCGGGCGTGCAGCCTGGGGTCATCACCGCATTTTCAATTCAGTTCCATCCTTGATTTTAGATTCAATACAAAAGCAGAATCTCCAGTTGGCTGTTAATTTTTGAAGGGGCATTGTATGCGTTCACTACATGTCAACCGTAAATAGACGTAAATAGTGCAGAAATCTGGACGTCGTAGTGGCTCGCTTGGCTCCGTAGGCCTTCCTGTCAGATGCGGCAGTGCCAGAGGTCGGGGGAAGATAAAGCGATGCTTATATAGATATATATATATATATACCCATAGACTTCAAATGATTCAGTTATGCCAAATTTTGGCATACCCCAAAGCCACGGGGCTTCTGAAATGGTCATTTTTTCTGTTCAGTGTTCACACTTCTCATCTACACACAGATATTGCCTTGATTTCGAGATATTTCCATGGTTCGCCTATGTCCACTAGTCGCCGACTCGTGCAGCCCATGGCCCAGCGGCACAATGTCGCAGGCAGAACGCCTCTGGATCAGACACGCTTCGCGCGCCAGAAGTGAGGCAAAGTCGCAGATTTCAATGGCATAGCAGGTGAATGATTAGGATATTGTAGTAACGGATGACTGAGCCCTGACTATCCCCCTTCACAATAGTGATAACGTATGATAAATTACTATACATAGACAATCGTGTATATATATATATATATTTATTTATTTATTTACAATTTTTATATAATTGCTACTTGGTACAGTACCACACCCTTACCAATGGACTGAGGGTTTTATTAACCCTGGATTAAAATTAATAAACCATCCCAGCAACCAGCCCCTTCGGATCGCAGACAGGAGATGCGACATCGGCGGGAGGAAACACATCCTGCACCTTGGACCTTGAAGGGATCAAAAGGAGGTGCCTGGTTCCGCATGTAATTTCATGGGTTTATAAACCCATGGAAGTGTACTGATGTAGACTTTAAATATATAATATATCTATGTAGATATAGATATATATATATATGTACAGATAAATACAGATATATATATATATATATTTATTTATTTATATATATATATGGATTTATATATATTTATATATACATATATATATGTATATATACAGATATATATATATATATATATGCATACAAATAAAAGTATATATATATAGGGATATAGATGTAGAAATATAAATATATATTTAAATATATATATATACAGATAAATATAGATATATATAGATAAATATAGATATATATATATGGTAACCGACAGAATTATGGAAAAAAAAACGTTCAACTTAGACAGGCGGCGCCTGCGTCCGATTTTTCCATAATTGTGTTTTTCCCCATAAGGGTTCAACATATCCCGGAAGTGATCCGAACCTTTTTTTTTCCATAATTCTTGGAGGTGGCCATATTTCCATAATTGATTTTTCCTGTAAAATCAGGGGGCTAGGGCAGATTGACCGGTTTTTCCATATATTTTTTCCATAATTATTTTTTCCATAATTAATGTTTGGGGCTCCACCTGTTGGACATGTCATGGATCCACAATTCAAACCCCTTTTTTTCGGGGGTTATGGAAATATGTATGCAAATGCAAGTATGTAGTATCAACCCAATTGGTGGCTTGGCAAAAGGATACATCCCGCATATGTATGTACGTACAACAATGAGTTTTGGTGGTGCAATTGAATATCAATGGAAGACTTAGGGCATATACCAGATCTTTAGACACATATTTTCTATAATTCAATATTCCCCCTTAAAATGCATTCAAATTGCGAATCGATGGACATACAGTCACCGACAGAATTATGGAGAAAAAAAAAGGTTCGTAACTTTTCTATCATAGACAGGCGGCGCCTGTAAATTGAAACGTCTTTTTTTTCCATATTTCTGTCGGGTGCTGTATATATATAGACATATATATATATAGATAAATAAAGATATATATAGATATAGATATGTATAGAGAGAGAGAGAGATAGATATAGATATTTATATTTAAATGTATATATTTATTGCCATAAACCTGAGGTCGCCTAGTTATACCCTTGGGTCATCAGCTCCGTGGTTTGCTGGAAAACCATCCAGCTACACTTCGATGATTCGATGATTTTCCCAGCGAGCTGAACCTCCATGGCTAGCTCGGGCAGTTCGGGGATTTCCAATTGCCATGTTTGATGACCGGAGGATATTCTATTCGAAAGTATTCCAATAACGATGTTTTTCATAGGAATCATATATCCCAATATGCACCATGTATGGTAGATTAAGTGCATTTGGGCCATTTGTGGGGTAGATGTTGGTAAATATGCCATATGTTTGGGGCATTTGGACACATGTACACATTTTAGTCAACCCTGGATTGAAAACCCATGATTTCTTTTTTGCAGGGATTCCAATCTATTCAAACAGCCGTGTCTATTGATTTTGGGGCATTGACCACACTTGCCTTCATTTTTCAGCAAATGTCTAGTGTTGATGCGTGCTTGATGGCGAATAGAAGGACACTCGCCCTTTATGTAGCTAAGTAGCTGAAGGACAAGAGGCAGAATGTTTTGATGAAATTCGCAAGTCGGTCATTTAATCAGCAAACCATAGCAAACCCATTCATAAACCACCTTCTTTTTGCACATGCCTTTTTGTTTTACACGTCCCAAATTGCAAATTTAGATTGGGCTTGCCACAACGGGACATCCTATAGAAAATCTGTATAAAAAGGGGCCATATCCCGGCCAAAGTCTCAACGCAATTTGCATACACAGTAATTTAGCATTAAGAAATCCAATCAAAGATTCTAAGATCCAATCAAGTCTTAGCAATCCAACTTCTTTTGTGGGTTTCACATACCCTTCTGGTGCACAAAGCCCTGCCTGTTCCCACTCCCTGTCGATTTTTGCTATAAAGGGCATCCTATGCCAAACCAAACCAGCTGCTGAAGGAAGATAAGCCTTGGTGGCAGGCACTGGGACGTGGTGATGGCATGCCATGGCTGAATGTTGGTTGTCCATGTTGAATAATGTTGAATCTATTGATGAAGGTTCACTCACATACCGGATGTTGAATAATGCTGAATAATGTTGATTCGGCACGTGGTTCACAAAGCATTTTGGAAAAATGTTTTGACCATTGATTCGGAAATGTTGCCCTAAACATATCTTCCAAACAGCCAAAAAGACCGGGCTCCTGAAGAAATTAGAAGAATTAGAAGCCATGTGCATTGAAAACATGTCCCGAAAAAGAGGGGAAACCGCCAGGGAGGTGGCGATACTGCCGCGGGCGCTGAATGGGAGCCCCATCACCTTAAGGTGGGAGCGCCATGGAAATCATGGGAAAATCATGGGAAAACCCATCGGAAAACCACCCTGACAAATGGAGGTTTATAAATCATCATGATTCATTGGCTACGGAATGACTTAATAATTAACTGCCTCAAAACTGGTGAACCATTACAGTATTAAGGTTTAGGGTTTAGTTAAGGAATCTTACAGTCATATCAGATTATGGTTCAATCAAGGGTGATCAGGGTCGACCTCACTGCGACCGAACCTGAAATGATGGTGAATGTAAGGTTTGTATAGGGGAATCATCCCCAAACATCCAATGGCATTTTGTCAGGTTTGTGAAATATTGTCATTTACCCAGACCAATGGAATTATTGATGCCAAACCAACGGTTCCAAGCAAGCAGTGGCTGCGTTGAACACCTCTGTTGATTGATGATTAGTTGGGTGATATCCTAATCCTATCCAATATATTGTGGAGTATCGTAGTGCATCACAGGAATTCCTTTATATTTTATAAACATATATAAACTAAACATGGTTTTGAACACAGCTCAAATGAGTCTTGAAGATCCATGCCATCCCATGCCCATTTTGATTCCAAGCGCTGGTGAATACCGGAAAATCATTCTCATTACTGGTGAAATGCTCCTTTTCTCATCCCTGACATGTTTGTTTCGGGTAAGTCCCAGCAAATCTATGTCGATTTACATCTGGGGAGAGCTTCAGAGATCGCCCTGGTGCTGGGAGTTTCTCAACATTTTGATGCTATGGTTGGGCTTCCGTCCCAGATGGGATGGGAAAATTCATTACCATTGAAGTACTAATCATTCGGGGATTCTTTTCTGGTAAAGTGAGGAGTTTCATTGTTGGATATACTGCAACTGGTTGGATATAAGTGTTTCATCTTTGTTGGTCGTGCTAAAACTTGCGGATCTCCGAATTGGCTGGATCACATGTTACCTATTGAGGAGCTTCCGGATCGGAGATGATCGGCTTGAATGAAGGGCTAATATGGTTGTGTGTGTATGTGTATCAAAAGCTGTCCTTTCCATCATTCCAAAGCTACACCATTCAGCACGGAACCTGACACGTGGAGGTCCTGAAGATGATACGACTTGATATGGAACTTGGGTGGGTTTCGTGTGAATTTAGGGGTGTGGCCTCCAGTAAACCAACTTGTTTGAATCATTTTGAAGCGGAATCCATCGTTTGCAAGTCATTTTGTATCATTACTTGATAATATTGATGTTAGTTGCTCATATCTATTGGAAGATGTCTCTCAATTTTTTGACCCCAAAAAATTAATCAGTTCCCTAGGAATTTACCATAAAATATCCCAGGTCGGTTGGGTCATGGAGAGCCGATGGATCCCAGGCGTCTCACCTGAATCCTTCCAGTGACTCCTGCAGTGGCGGCCCTGGGGCAGAGATCAAAGCTGTGAGGCAGTTGTCAAATACCGTTGTCGATGATTGAAATGCATATATGTTGTTTTAATAAACATAAAACATAAACAACAATGATTTAAAAAGGTATTTAAGAATGGGGATATACTACGGATACCATGGGAGAAAAAATCTATATCAATATGACATGTGGGATAATTAATTAATAATGTTACAAAACTACTGGTGGTTATGTCTTTGTATCCTATCAGTTTTATCCACATTTATCACCCGTACTCCCACACTATTGATTGCTCCATCATATGGATTTTCCTGAGAATTGTGTGCCCCCAAATCCTGTGGGTTATCATGTTCATCATCAGTTTCATATGAAGATTGCAATGGTGAGTTATCTTCTCCATGTTTGAACAAGCCATGTTAGTTGTTATAAAGTATAGATAGCCGTTACAAATGGCCGAGATCTAAGTAGCCACATCGCAGCACTTGAAGCCATCTAAAACCATGTAAGACTGAAGTGAGTGTGAATGGATGGGACAAATCCATCGAATGCCGTTGGCTCTGACGCAAAATTACTTTACTTCGTGTGATCCCCACCATGACATTTATACATGTTCTTACTGGCAAATCTTCTGGCATTCTATCTGACATATCTTCTGACATTCTATTTGGCATTCTATCTGGCATATCTTCTGGCATATGATCTGGCATATCTTCTGGCATTCTATCTGGCAAATCTTCTGGCATTCTATCTGGCATATCTTATGGCACTCTATCTGACATATCTTCTGGCATTCAATCTGGCATTCTATCTGGCATATCTTCTGGCATATATTCTGACATATCTTCTGGCATTCTATCTGACATATCTTCTGGCATATATTCTGACATAACTTCTGGCATATCTTCTGGCATATCTTCTGGCATATCTATCTGGCATATCTTCTGGCATATTTTCTGGCATTCTATCTGGCAAATCTTCTGGCATTCTATCTGGCATTATATCTGGCATACCTTCTGGCATATTGTCTGGCATTCTATCTGGCATATCTTCTGGCATATATTCTGACATATCTTCTGGCATATCTTCTGACATTCTTTCTGACATTCTTTCTAACTTTCTTCTGCACATTCTTTGTCCCATATCTTCCTACATGAGGTCCGGCAGGGAACACTTGGCGTGGATACTCGCGGTTGAGGTCCGGCAGGGGACACTGGGCGTGGATGGTCGTGGTTGAGGTCCGGCAGGGAACACTGGGCGTGGATGGTCGTGGTTGAGGTCCGGCAGCGAACACTGTGGATCGCGAGTCGCAGTTGAGCAGGAGGACGAGGAGGACAACGAGGACGACGAGGACAACGAGAGGACGACAAGGATGACAAGGAGGACGAGGAGGACGAGGAGGAGAGGAGGAGGAGGAGAGGAGGACGAGAGGAGGACGAGGCAGGAGGAGGAGGAGGAGGCAACTGACATAAAATCTAACAACCCTCACCTGGCAGGTGGGGAAAAATGTTGTTTCAACTGGGTGTGCCCTCGTTTTTGATGATTTGGAGGGTATCCCCAGTTATCAGTCACAGCCATACACTTCACCAAGGTTCAGAGGATGTGTTGAAGGCCCGCGGAAACAGCTGGGTGTTTCAATGTTCCAGAGGGGCTTGTGCCCCAAATGGAGGCCCTCGGCTTTTTTTAAAGGCGGTATCCGAAAAGGATGTTTCCAAGGAGTAAGGAGTGCTAGTTTCCTTTTTTTAAGGATGTTAGATTACATTTGGGAAGGGTAGTTTGTGATGCAGCTCCATGATTTTGAAGCATTTGATGCTACAGCTCCTGGAGCCTGAGTCGTTGACTCTCTTCCCTCCAGAACCAGTCAGGTGCTGGCGCACTTGCCCCTCTCCGCGCCGTCCTGGGCTAAGGGAAATCCCCGAACGAAACGGAGGTCTGAATTGGGGAAAACGTCAATAAATGGTGTTTCATTGCCGGGCTACAGAATAAGTAACATCCCACCAACGGAAAGCCCTGAGAATGTATGTAGTCTTCCAACCCCCGACGCATGGCAGGGTCGAGGTCAATTTGGGGGAGGGTAGGTGACAATTATCCATGTTGTAAACGAATAGTCGTGGCCATGATAAATCGCTACAAGAGTTAGAGTTATTATAATGCCATGAATGTACTGAGGTGACATTTATGACTACAACTCATTCAGCATTCATACTATTTCACACTACTTTTTAGATTCATTATATAATTCATAATTTATACATCATAATCTATCTATTATTAGCCATTACCCACATAAACTCATGAATCATTCATCAGCCGTAGTTCTCAAAAGGTGCCGGTGTTTTTCAGATGGGCTACTGATTTCTCTACGGTCACGCTTCCCCGTCCAAGGATTTCCTTGGATTGTGAGAATCCCTTTAAAGGATTGGGTAGTTATTGGGTTATTCCTGAAACGATGGAGAAAAACTGAAAAACTCAATCCTATTTTCACAGGGAATGATTTGTCCATCTGCTTGGGGATCCCTCAGAATCTCGTGGAAGGTCCATCCCTGCAGCCATTTTGGCTGGAGCCATGATGAAAACTGCCCCCGTCAAAGCTAGATGAAAAAATGGTGGGGATTTGATCACTGAAACGATATTTCAGGATTTTTAAGGGCCCGCCGGAGTGAATATTCATGATGAAATATGAAAGGTCCAATTTGATGAATATGTGGGAAAATAGTTGCACTTCCTTGGGAAAGCCTTTCATCATGGGCTGAGAAGTGGAAACGGCTGCGGCGAAGAAAGAACAATAACTAGATTGTAAAGATGTCTGGATGTTTGGAGATCAGGACATTTAAATGCCATAAAAGAACACTACCTAGATTGTTGGAAACATCCCGTAGGATTCTGCGGGGTCTGTAAGAAATCGCTGAAAGAGTTCAACTTCCGCACGTCCATGGCCCATGACTGACGCAGCCCGTGAAGCTGGTGATGTGGAAACAGAGATTCTTGGCGTGGCAAATTGATCAGATCAGATTGCGGGGAACCATGGCAAGATTAAATCAACTTCTTAAGTAGCTTAGGAAGGATTGTTTCAGATTCCTGGGGTTACAGTTTATGTTGACCGTTGGCTGATTTGGAATGGTTGATCATATGTTGACATCGGAAAAAGATGTTATCGGCCTTGTAAGCTCTTGATCTACATTCTGCTTGGGATCTATTACTGTACTTCACTATATTACCATCTGGTAAGATTGGTCTATGAACCCATCCAATTGCAGATGTATCCGCCATCCTCGGTTGTAAACCATATCGCTTCGGTCTGCTGCATTTGACACGCACTCCCAGGAAATTTTCGGGCTTGAAGTTGAAAGGCCTGGCGGAATTGTTGGAAGTCACAAGGAGGATTAATACAAGCGCAGTTCAAAATGCAAAACTTTAGATGCTTAGATTCATGATTGATTTTATACCATATTCGATTGAAGTTTAGAAGTCAAACTTCCGACAATATGGACAGATGAAAAGCAGAGATGGGAAGAGTCAGAGAGAAGAGAAGAGTAGAAGAGAGAAGAGCAGAAGAGAGAAGATCAGAGAAGAGAAAGAGTCAGAAGAAAGAAGATGCAGGCGCGCAAAAAGGTAGGAAAGTCGCGAAACACTGTTTTTCCAATGATTTGTGGCTCCGGAGGGTCGAAAAGTAGGCTCGCTAAAGCGGCGGGCGCGGAGCCAGTGGCGCGAAGCAAATTTCGAAGTCAAAACGTACAAAACACACCATGCTCGGACCACTTTTGGAAGTTGAGATGTCTAAAAAGTGCACGCCGTTGTGGCGCGAAGCACATTTCGAAGTCAAAATGTACAAAACACACCAGCTTCAGGGCACGTTTAGAAGTTGAGATGTCGAAAAAGCGCACGCTGTTGTGGCGCGAAGCACATTTCGAAGTTAAAATGTGAAAAACACCAGGGGTTCCGACCACTTTTGGACGTTCAGATGTCGTTTCGCGTGGCAGGCGCAAGGGATTGTGGACCTTATCAGAAGTGAGCAAAACGCAACGGTTTTGTAGCATTTCCAAAAAAAACGATGGCAAGCGTGGGACATTTGAAGAGGATCTGCAAAGATGCATTTTCCGCGGCAGGCGCAGTACAAGAGACATGTTCATCAGAGCTGTTAGGAGGTCCGGGCGCTGATTTCCTGAGAGGGGTTGCATTTTGGAGCATCAGATCTTCAGGTTTGCTGAGATGATTTTGCGTGACAGGTGCAGCACTTCGTATGACCTGGCATCACTTTTTCGTGGCAGGCGCAGTAGTTTAGACAAATGGACTGGAAAAATCACAAAACGCAATGGTACGAGGCCGTCAACTCTGCACTCAACTTTCCATTTTGAAGGACGTCTCGCAGAATTGCTTCGTTTTTGATGTTGTGAACTTTAAAGCAAATAGGAAATCGCGCAGAAGTGCTTCGTTTTTGATGTTGTCAAGTGCAAAGTCTCGCAGAATAGCTTCGTTTTTAAGCTTGCAGATAAACAGATACACAGACAGACAGACAGATAGATAGATAGATAGACAGAAAGACAGACAGACAGATAGATAGATCGTCAGAGAAAGAGAGAGAGAGAGAAAGAGAGGAGACCTCAACCACCTTTCGGTCCATCACTGGATTCGCTCTGCCATCCGTGATTCACAACAACCAACCTCTCCTATAGGTTTCCTATTTTTGAAACTTCCGCCACCGCCTTGTGCGGTACTACTGGAAATATAAACATCAAAATGTTTCTGTGATTAAAGTTTATCAAATACCCAAAATCTAGAATCAGGTATGGCGATAGTATATGATAGTATTGCGTATTGTGTTGGTTCGCATGGATTTACCATTTACATGAACTAGATTGAATGAAGGGTCCCCAGAGTCCAGGAGGCCTTGTCTCATTCTCTAAGGGTTGTTCCAGCCCCTTATAGGTAAATCGTAGCCACACGGGGGCAAAACATATTGTACCTTTCTACCTAGCGATTTTCGCCTCCCTTTGAATTTGGGCTGTTGGGAGCAATCTTATTCCCCAGGGCCTTTTCTGGGGGAGATTCCCGGTTTTATGTCTGGTGGCAGGTCGCAAGGTGTCTGCAAAACGATGGGACGAACTGATGATCGGGAAAAGGCCGGGGGGCACCACTACTGAACATTGCCATCATCGTTTGTGATGGTTGGATGGACTGATGCATGGTGAAAAGGCTTTGAAGTCGAATACGTTCAAACAACATCCAGTGCATGTTTATGTATCTTTGCTTCGTGGTCAAACTATGGAAATGCAGTTGCATTCTTCCATGAAAGTGGTCATTGAATGATTGACTATAGTCCCTTTTCAGGACCGCCCGCGGCACCGTTCACAGGTTCGTGAACTTTAATGCCCTGCAGAATCTGGGAGATTCCAATAAGCCCGCAGTAGCCATTGGTGTCCTCTACGTTCCTCGGCAGAAGTTTTTGACAACGTTGGGTCGGTGATTTCCACTTTGAACGCATCAGAGCACCATGAGATTTCCTCCCGATTGCGGCGAATTCTTTGGGTTTGAGTTCATTCAGCTGACTGCTGCCTCCAAATTTCGACCAGTCCTTTTCCCAGCAGGCCAGCCAATCTGCAGATTGGGTGGCTCCGAGATCCCGTCCTCATCTCCCAGCCGTTTCTCCCACGACCCCCCTGACAAAGGAAAAAGGTTTCGCCAAGACCTCCAACACAGGCGAGATTCATCCCAGGTCAAATGAGTGCGTCTGACGATGGGGGTATACCGTATACCCCAAAATCGTCCTTTTAAATGGGACAATGACAAGAAACCATTGGATTTCGAGGCACCTTATTTTTCAGACCAACCCAAATGATTGACATTTTGACGATGTCAATGGCGGTAGAGTGGATCTCCTGGACCCGGCGGCCAGGCAGTCAGTACGTGCACTGGTCCTTCACGGATTTTTGCACGCCACAACCGCGGCTCTTGAAACTGCTGTGCCTGGGACGATGGGAACATGTACCGGAAAGCTCTATATTTGGTGGTTAAAAAAATAAAACGTGCTTTCCTGTAAATATTCCTCAAACCAATCCATTCACATCATTTGGAAAATTCTAGAAAAAATTAGAAACGATGGGTGATAATGTGATAATGTCATCAAATGACTTTAGTATAGTTTTGTCAGGAATTCAGCAGGTCCGCCACATGCAGCACGTGTTTGCTTTTTGTTGTCAGGTTATGACTTGCATGGGTAGTTTGGAATTGGTTTAGACCTAGCAACCAGTGTTGAATCCTCTGCAAGTATGACAAAGTACGGTGGCACCCTCCTATCCCAGCGTTGATTTAAGGGAACCGAAACTGCCAGGCTATGTTATGGAAAAACCCAGCCACAGTTTCCTGTACATATTCCCGTAAACCAGTCCTTTGATATTCCCGGTCAGTTTACAGTAGCTGAGATTCAGTTATAGTCCCACGAAAAATCCCATTAGATCAAACTAGATCCGGCAAGACATCCCCCATTCCATGGTCGTTGTCCCCCGCAGCATCGAAACGAAGGCTTTGCAGCGAAGCCTTTGAAGCCTGGCACGTGGATCTGGGCAAAACCGACGCTCGGAATGCAGCATTACCGGATGGCAGGTTCGGCATAGGTCGTTACCCCCTACACATGGCCGGTAGTTCATGTGTGATCATGTGTGTTTTTGATGTTGAAGATTTGGCTTTTGGGGTGGAAAATGGCGGGATGACCGAGTTTGACACTGTCATGATTTTGTGATTGGGGTGATATGTACTGGCTGGATCTCCTTTCCAAAGGATGCCAATTTACATTCGGCAAACTCAGGTTTCCCTGGCAAGTCATGACTTGGCAAATTGCACCCGCAGGTTTCTTTTAACAATGCCAAAAGTTTCTGCACAGCTGCCTGAGATATACTGTGTTTATTGGGCTACGCATCCTCACCTTTCATATCAAATCCATAGATTGCCTTGTGCATTGATGGACATGCATTGTTTTGCAAGTATAATTTCAAAACCTGTGGTTGGCGTCGGGGTATCCCAGTTGCAGGTAGCTCCAACCCATCAACCGTACAACATGATGGTCGTTCCGCGCCAGCAGGTGCACTATGGGGCTGTCTTTGCCATGCTGAACCCGACGGCGTCCAACCAGCGTCCAGAACCTTGGTCGGCTTCATTGCTACCTTTGCTTGGTGAGATCCTCACATTGCTGGTGTAAAATCCCAAGTTTTTGTTTACTTAAATCCACATAAAGCCATCATGTTTGCTAAGTAGGTATTGACTTGATTTTAAGCGACCATTTTCCAACATGTTCCAAGATTTTAACCCTGCTTTTCGTTGATTTTTAAAGCCCCATTCTTCCATTTTTTCCATGGGACGGATGGAGCTGCCAACAGCCCCACGCCCGAGGACCAGGGCTCAGAGACGTTGATCTCCGCCAAAGTGACGCACTCAACGCAGTTGGTGCTGCTGGGATACTTGGCATCGCAGGAGACAACTCGCCGTGGTGATCTCGGGGATTTTTAACGAAATCAATGGAAAATCACCATGAAAGGTCGGATCAACTGATTATAATAACTATATATATATACAATTGACTAATTACATCTAATTACCAAGAATGATAAAACATGTGGATTTCAGAAGCTGGGTGATTTTGGCCCGCAAAATTGCGTTTTCAAGCAATTGAAAACACAGATTTAACTACAAAGAGGGAGATGTATAGCCAATTTAAGTGGATAAACTGATTGGTGAAGAGTTGGTTACAAGGTTGAACTTTGATTGGCAAGTTCTTGATTCCCGGTTGTTTGTTAACCGTGAAAGAGGGGTAAGATTAGCTATGCAAAAGTTTTAGCACTGCAGTGGTGAGGCCATGGTGATAAAACTGCTGGCTGTTTGTCAGTCTAGCCCAAGGGTATTGCAGGTTTACCAACTGGTCACTTTATAGGATCCAATTGGGGCGCTTTTCAAAGGTGGTCAAATGTGACACACTCAATGATTAGCCGCTCCACTGGCGGATGGCTGTCCCACTTAAAGGGGTTGTGCCCCATCTACCAACCATTTAAAACCATGTATCAATCATTTACCAAGCACTTACCATTTAGTAACTAACTAGCCACTTTTGAGGGTGCCACAACAAGTGACTGCCAACACTGTAGTCTCAGACATTGTCTCACATACCTCATGCAATTTTTCTTTGGCCCCTTTGTGAAGCTTTGGCTACAGACACTGTCCCCAATGATGCAGCCTTTGCCCCAAGCTTGCTGGGCTGGCCGAGGTCAGTTTCCCTCCCTGGGCTTTTGCTCCTGCCACAAGAAAGATGGCCTCCCCTGCAGCATGCCCTGTGACACGGAGAAGACGGGCGGCAGATTGGTGCCTCGGGGCACATGCGGAGATTAGGTCAGGTACTACCAAACAAAGGTCCATACACATTTGGGGCTAAAAACATTATATACACAACTAATTTTTACTTGACTCTTGGGATGGCAAGGAAATCATCGAAGAAAAAAACAAGTGGAAACCGTATGAGTAAAAGCCCCTTGTTTTTTTTAGCTCAGCAGGACCCCCCAGAATTATCCGCCTGGCTCCTGGGGTGTCCTGGGTATTCCTGGGTGGCAGGTCTGTTTCTACCACACCATGCACCAAGAAGCGCAGAAGATTCGCAACTTTGCCGAGATGAAGAAATCCCAGGGCACTCGAGGCTGGCTCCAGCGTGGGTAGGTGTTGATAGTCATTATTTTGCATCACCAAAAAGAGAATATCACCACCCAACAAGAAGATATCACCACAACAACTGTAGATACGTACAGGTACTTTGTGACGAGTCTGAAAAGGATACCTGCCAGTGGTGGAAACGGAGCAATATTGTGGCAACCCGCGGCACGGAAATAACAATCATGATAACATATAATACCAACAATGATCATCCTTCAGAACCTATTGGGTGACTGCAACCCCGACTCAAAACATAGGGCTTATTGAAGTTTATTGTTCAAGTTACCACCTGATATTCCCATCGTACTCCCGGATCCTTACGGCCAGGAGCTGACGTCACTCCCGGGTTGGCCCCTCCGGTGGCAGGATTGGTGCTGGACACGATGATACAATCATCGGGTAAGGGGTGACATCACCGCTCAAACAAATGGTACCTTATCTAGTCATTCACTTTATATATAATCCTAAACAATAAAATCTTTGATCATGGTATTTCTATTTATATATATCTATATATATATACAATCATTGCATATAGATATTCGCGCATTTAATATGCAAATATATGTACATATACATATTAAAGCTTCCTCTTTTACCTGAGAAGAACTGTTTGGGAACATTCTCCTTGGTCAGATCAGTTCCAGTCCCTGGCCAGTCACTTAGGTGGTGCGACCAGGCCCAACGCCGAAAGCCAAAGGTGCCAGCAAAGGCTGGATGGGAGTTGAAGATGGGAGCATAAAGGTTGAAAGTTCCGGACAGTTATGTGTGTATGATGAAATATGTAAATTTTGTATATGTACATGTACATATCTAACAGATTTGGTTTGATATACATACACGATCATACACGTATATACATCTCAATGTGTATATGTTTGTTGTATATGCGCGTAACGAAGGAATATTCTTATCCAAGAGGTTGGGCCCAAAAATCCAATGGCGAGATGGATCCAGTTCAACTGCCGGTCCCTGAGGTCCCAAGCATCCCCAAACCATGCTACCCCTCCCGCAGAATGGCTTAAGCATATTATCCCAGAGCCTCAGCTATCAAAAAGACAGCTCCTGTCGTTCCCAGCCATGGTTGAGAATGGTGGTTTCATCCCTTTGGGAGCGCAGCAGACCAAATTCAAATTCAAGGATGGTGTGCATCCCTTGGGCCCCTTGGCTCCGGTTGGACATTCATGGGGTGGGACATAGCTGGGACTTGGGCTTTGTAGCCCAGACGACTCCATGCATTTTGGACTGAAAATGGTGATTTGGATTTTGCGAAAAGACGTGAAAAGACCACATTCATCTTGACTGGCTCTCCTTTGACCCTTAGGCATGCTACATCACCACCCCTTAAAGCCCACTAGAATTGGTTCACCAAAAATCCGAGACCTATTTTCGATGTTTGGGTGTGAGACCATGGGTTTCCAGTGCCCATCGCTGGTTCCTCCCAGGTACCTCCAGCTGTCAGGCCGGAGCTCGCGTGACCATGTCGTGGAACCAGGCCATGCTGGCGCAGGCCCAAGGCTGGGGCCACATGGAGATAGGCCGCCGTCCCCACCATGCGCGACCGCATCTACTGGGCACGCGGCCACCGGCTGAAACAAAGAGGGAAGCAAAGGTGGGATGGGGATGAGGTGAAGGTTTTGGTAGTCCCAGGCAGCTACTGAAGTTTTTGAAGTTTGTTCGAGATGGTTTTGGGTGCAGGATACTGAAGGTTAGGGCCATGTTGCTCACAGTTCTTCGTGATTGGTTTTTGGATGTTTTGGATGCTCTTTTCTTGGTTGAGCAGGCTGAACAATCTTGAGAGCACAGCCTCTTTGGACATTAGAATCCCGCATCATGGATCATCATGCCACCTCAGCCTTTCCATTTGATATTTGTTTGGGGGCACGGAGAATGCTCAAATCATGCAAGGTTTAGTTGGAAGGGATATGTGCTTCATTGTGGTTCTACCTGGGGGTACACTCACCTTTGTCACCGAGTCGAAAAGTGCTTTCTGCGAAGCACCTGCCCAGGGTTTCCAACTGGCTTCAGCTTAAGACTTTCCAGAGCTTCTCTGAGATAGCTACTTATCCTACTTGGATCATCCTAGTTTCCCAAGTTCTGGCCCTGAACCCTGCCAGGAAAACAAACAACATGTACAAGCCCTCCATCAGCAGACCAGTTCACACCAGATCTCCCCATCGCCCCTGCACTCCCTGGACTTCCCACTGCTACCCCGACACCATGCCTCAACATCAGCTGTGGGTGCGGGCAGGACACGGGATGCACCTCGGTACTCATATATTTCAAGCTTTGAAAAGGTAGAAGCTTCAAAACTTGTGGGTGGCCGTTTGACGATCCGGTTCGGAGCTATGGCAGCTATGGGCATCCATATTCCATCATCTTCCCCACCTGACTTCCCAACTGCATGAGCTTAGGTCCTGGCCGAGATTTTGGACTTTTGGTCTTCACTGCAGCGAGACTTGAAAGATGTTTGGAGGAAGCACAGCTGGATGCAACTGACGCCTGAGGCAGCGTTTGCAGGTGCAAAAACTGTGGAGATCTGACTGGTACCTGGGGTTATTTGACCAACAGAAATGAGTAATTAATCATATTTGACCACCTAGAATGGGTGTTTAGTTGAGCAACATCACTTTGGCTTTTTTGGCCTATTGACATGTGTTTTTGGTCATTTTTGATACGTGGCTTTATACAATCAACAGTATGGGAATCAATCGGGGATGGGTGAGTCAAAACCTATCATGTTCAGAATATTTGGGGGAAGAACATCTTTGAGCGCCAACTACTTTGAGATGAAAGTCAACTGTTTCTTTTGTAGAGTCACCCGCCCCCAACTTTTCTTCAATCAAGTTTTATGGGAAAAAAGTGCCAATCCAACTGAAGTTTCCCTCCAGAGGGTGTGCCTTTCACCTCCTTCAGGTGAGCTGGGCCGGTGGGGCGCGGCCAACGGCAAGCCCCATGGCGTGGGATGTTTGACTCTGGCAGAGACTCAGCATCTGGGTTCCTTCCGTGAAGGGCGCGCGGAAGGTCAAGGGATATGTTTCAGTAGCTGCGGCAAGGTGCCGTTGGGTCCCTGGGTTGGGCGGGAGAGGTGGATAGGAACTCAAAACATAGCTATGGAAAACCATGGGAAACCCATGGGAAATCATGAAAAATCACCATGTTTATCATGTTTCATAAGTAAACCATCGAACGAGATGGGCCGTTTTCCATAGCAAACTGTTAATTTACCAGAGGGTATCCCGATTTGTTTGAATCGCATCTCTTGCGCATCTCTTGCGATTTGGAATGTTTACCAATATATCATGTTTTTCTTCTCTTTGAGCAAACTGACGGTTGACTGGAACTTGATATATGTTTTATTGTCATATCCTGAGTTCAGATTTTTGTTCCTTTGAGTGACATGAAAGTGTCCAAAACCACTTCCGTCTCAGGTGTGCTTCGGGAAATGGAAGTGCAATGCCAGGGTGGGCGATTTCATCCTCTTAGATGCGCAAGGAATCTCGACGTGGCGCTGTTGCTTCTCTTTCAGGTTGCCCGTAAGTTTCCAAAACGAAAAGGCACTCTCAGGATCTCTCAGGAAGCAAAGAGGGGATGACTGAGGTTGAAATGCTCTTTAGAATTATACCTACCCATGCATTGAGTTTGGCAGGCTTGGGTGTGCATGTATCATCTTTAAGTGCTCCAATGAATGCTTTCATTTTGGCTCAAGTAAACTTGAACCAAAATAGCATTCATTGCTTTTTCTTTCTTGGTCTTGGTAAGGGGTGACCTTCCCAGACCTTGATTGATTGGTTCTGGCAAGCAGCGAGTGATTGACAATGGCGACACGGGAGGACAATCAGCGTTGTCATCTGATGCCAACAAGCTCACATTGTGCAGCCCACTGCGCCCTGCACAGCATATCCGCCTGGTGATGCATCGTTGGGCCGATGAGGACATCGCAGATTTTCTCGCACACGATGCCTGGGAGACAGGCCAGGAGGACTTGCCTTCAGCATACAGGTACTGCCCTATGGCGCTGCAAGAAAGTCTGGGTTGCGTGGATGATTGAGTGGCTCACCACATCAATAACCAGGGGTGACCTGGTTGGTTACAAGGGTCGTAAGGGGTGCCCTGGTAGTTGCAAGGGGAGACCGTGCATGCAGCGTAAGCTTCGTGGGAGCGATATCCCGGCGGCCACCGAGGCGACGCTCCTCCATGCTGCTGCGTTCCTGGAGTTCAAGCAGCACGTGGCGAGGCGATGCATTCTTGCCGCAGCAGTCCTTGGAAGACGCCAGAAATGGTTTTTGTACACCCCTCTGCGGCAAGCAGAGTTCCTCAGGGACATTGGCGGCCTGGCACATCGTATTATCCTGCGCTGTGTCATCACCTAAAGTTCGGGGAAACAACGAGTCATCGACAACGGTGACACCGGAGGACAATCAGACCTTTCTTCCGATGCCAATATGCTTACACCATGTAGTCGCACATAAGCCTGGTTATGCGTCGTTGGTCTGAGGACGAGGCCGCGGAGTTTTGTCACCATGATGCCTGGGAGACAGGCCAAGAGGACCTGCCGTCTGCCTACAGGTACTGCCCCATGTCACAGCAGGAGAGCTTAGGCTGCGTTGTCGTCTGGTTTCACTGATGAGTGGCAAACTCCGGTTTACCAGGTCTATGCAGGCCTCTTGTTTAGGATCCCCCTGGCAGTCACTTCGTTCAACTGATTTTCCAGACTGTTGGAAGCGCTGACCCGCCGGTATTGCCAAGTTTTGACATCCCTGTACTTTGATGCCGCGATCACTGACGTCCGCTCTGCCAAGGGCAATGGGCGATGAACCAACTATGCCTGATGATCGGACCCCCATTTGCGGAAGACAAAACGCAGACCATGCAGAGCACTGGCGCTTCTCTGGGACTTACCCATGACCCGAGTTGCATCAATAAGACAGGTCATGTTCGTTTTTGGGCCCGCACCAGACTCCATGGCAAAGTTCGTGATTTCTTGCCACAGCACGTCAAGCAGGCCACTTTACTCGAGGCCCAGCTTCCAAACTTTATGGACTTGCAAACTTCTTGGTGCAAGGTATTTCTGGGTGAGTCGGGTATGGCGGTCTCATGGCCATCAAGGCACGCAACTGGAGCTCTCTATGGTGTTGTGCGTCTTGATCGAGCGCCCCGACCTTTTTCGACATCGACATGGTCTTTGGTTCCTCGACAACGTTGCCGCAGTCATGACCTTGGTGAGAGGGCGCTCTAGCAGTTAGCAAAGCTCGGCCATTTGATCCATTTGGCTCTGTTTGCACTGCGTGCCCAGCACTTGAGGGTGCCCCACACTTGCCATGAATATGGATTGGCTTTTTCAGCGAATTTCAGTTTCCAAGTAGGGGTGATCCTACTTCTGGCAACCTGGATATTTGCGATTTCAGCAGCGCTGGCTGCTGCTGGTTTTGACTTCCCCAAGCAAGCTGGGTGTCGGCAGTGGGCACAGAAATGTGGGCGTTTGCTGTTTCAAGCAAGTTGGGTTTCAAGCAGGAGGTGATCCTGCTTGGTGTTCCTGCTTGGTGTAGCCGTACTTGCTTTCGTGACATATATTGGGGTCCAAGCGGGGGTGATCCTATTTGATGGCGCCCAACACTTGCCATGAGTATTGCAAACTTGAGTTTTCGCGTTTTCAGCGGAGCTGGAGGCTGTGGGTTTTGACTTCCCCAAGCCAGCTATGTTTCCAAGGCAACGCTACTTGAGGACCACAGGGGCAGTGACCACAGGGCTGTGGGCCTCTGCGTTCTCAAGCAGGTTGGGTTTCAAGCAGGAGGTAACCTGGTGTGGCCTTATTGCTTTCGTGGCATAGGTTTCGGGTCCAAGTTGGGGGTGGTCCTACTTGAGGGTGCCGAACATCTGCCATGAATATGGCTTGAAATTTTAAGAACAATTTCAGTTCCAAGTAGGGGTGATCCTACTTCTGGGCAACTTGGTTTTTGGCAATTCCAGCAGAGCTGGATGCTGTTGGTTATTTTGACTGCCCCAAGCAAGCTGGGTTTCCAAGTACAGGTAACGCTACTTGAGGATCACAGGTTGCCCACTGGCACTGCCAGAGAGTGACCACAGGGCTGTGGGCCTCCGCTGTCTTAAGCAGGTTGGGTTTCAAGCAGGAGGTAATCCTATTTGGTGTGGCCGCACTTGCTTTCGTGACATAGTTTTGGGGTCCAAGTGGGGGCGATCCTACGTTTTGGTGCCCAGCACTTGCCATGAATCTGGCTCGAATTTTTAAGCGAATTTCGGCTACCAAGTAGGGGTGATCCTACTTCTGGTAACTTGGGATTTTTGCAACTTCAGCAGAACTGGAGGTTGTTGGGTCTGACTTCCCTCCAGGAAGCTGGGTTTCCACGTAGAGGTGACGCTACTTGCAGGCCACAGGTTGCCCATCGACACTGCCAGGCAGTGACCACAGGGTTGTGGGCCTCTGCTGTCTTAAGCAGGTTGGGTTTCAAGCAGGAGGCAATCCTACTTGGTGTGGCCCTAATTGCTTTAGCGACACAGGTTCGGCGTCCAAGTGGGGGTGATCCTACCTGAGGGTGCCCAGCAGTTGCCATGAATATGGCTTGAATTGGTTAAGCGAATTTCAGCTACCAAGTAGGGGTGATCCTACTTCTGGAAGCTGGATTTTTGCAAATTTCAGCAGAGCTGGGGGCTGTTGGTTTTTGACTTCCCCAAGCAAGCTGGGTGTCGGTAGTGAGCACAGAGATGTGGGCCTCTGTTGTCTTAAGCAGGTTGGGTTTCAAGTAGGGGGTAATCCTGCTTGGTGTGGCCTTTTTGCTTTAGCGACATATGTTCTGGGTCCAAGTGGGGGTGATCCTACTCGTTGGTGCCCAACACTTGCCATGAATGTAGCGCCAGTTTTTAGGCGAATTTCGGTTTCCAAGTAGGGGTGATCCTACTTCTGGGCAACTTGGTTTTTGGCAATTCCAGCAGAGCTGGATGCTGTTGGTTTTGACTGCCCCAAGCAAGCTGGGTTTCCAAGTACAGGTAACGCTACTTGAGGATCACAGGTTGCCCACTGGCACTGCCAGAGAGTGACCACAGGGCTGTGGGCCTCCGCTGTCTTAAGCGGGTTGGGTTTCAAGCAGGAGGTAATCCTATTTGGTGTGGCCGCACTTGCTTTCGTGACATAGTTTTGGGGTCCAAGTGGGGGCGATCCTACGTTTTGGTGCCCAGCACTTGCCATGAATCTGGCTCGAATTTTTAAGCGAATTTCGGCTACCAAGTAGGGGTGATCCTACTTCTGGTAACTCGGGATTTTTGCAACTTCAGCAGAACTGGAGGTTGTTGGGTCTGACTTCCCTCCAGGAAGCTGGGTTTCCACGTAGAGGTGACGCTACTTGCAGGCCACAGGTTGCCCATCGACACTGCCAGGCAGTGACCACAGGGTTGTGGGCCTCTGCTGTCTTAAGCAGGTTGGGTTTCAAGCAGGAGGCAATCCTACTTGGTGTGGCCGTAATTGCTTTAGCGACACAGGTTCGGCGTCCAAGTGGGGGTGATCCTACCTGAGGGTGCCCAGCAGTTGCCATGAATATGGCTTGAATTGGTTAAGCGAATTTCAGCTACCAAGCAGGGGTGATCCGACGTCTGGAAGCTGGATTTTTGCAAATTTCAGCAGAGCTGGGGGCTGTTGGTTTTTGACTTCCCCAAGCAAGCTGGGTGTCGGTAGTGAGCACAGAGATGTGGGCCTCTGTTGTCTTAAGCAGCTTGGGTTTCCAGTAGGGGTAATCCTGCTTGGTGTGGCCTTATTGCTTTAGCGACATATGTTCTGGGTCCAAGTGGGGGTGATCCTACTCGTTGGTGCCCAACACTTGCCATGAACGTGGCGTCAGTTTTTAAGCGAATTTTTGTTTCCAAGTAGGGGTGATCCTACTTGTGGAAACTTGGAGGTTTTCGTTTTCAGCGGAGCTGGAGGCTGTCGGTTTTGACTGCCCCAAGCAAGCTGGGTGTTCTCAGTGCGCACAGAAATGTGGGCGTTTGCTGTCTTAAGCAGGTTGGGTTTCAAGCAGGAGGTATGCCTACTGGGTGTGGCCTTACTTGCTTTAGTGACCTGGGTCTGGGGTCCAAGTGGGGGTGATCCCACTTGATGGTGCCCAACACTTGCCACGAACATTGCTTGAATTTTAAAGTTAATCTCATCTTCCACGTAGGGGTGACCCTGTTTCTGCAAACTTGAGTTTTTGCGTTTTCAGCAAAGCTGGAGGCTGTGGGTTTTGACTTCCCCAAGCAAGCTAGGTCTCCAAGGCAACGCTACTTGAGGACCACAGGGGCTGTGGGCCTCTGCGGTCTCAAGCAGGTTGGGTTTCAAGCAGGAGATAACCCTACTTGGTGTGGCCTTATTGCTGTAATGGCATAGGTTTTGGGTCCAAGTGGGAGTGGTCCTACTTGAGGGTGCCCAACACCTGCCATGAACATGGCTTGAAATTTTAAGGAAATTTCACCTTCCAAGTAGGGGTGATCCTACGTCTGGGCAACTTGGATTTTTGCAATTTCAGCAGAGGTGGAGGCGGTTGGTTTTGACTGCCCCAAGCAAGCTGGGCTTCCAAGTAGAGGTAACGCTGCTTGAGGATCACAGGT